CTTTTTGTGAAAAAAATAAAATTAATCACTTTTTTTGGAAAATGAAAACTTTATTATACCTATACGAAACAGTTTTAATAGACAACATCACCCATCTAACAAACTTGTGATGAAAACTCATCTCTTTTAAAATTATTTCCAGAGCTCCTCACTCTAGAGTCATAAGTTTTTGAAGATCCATTTGGATCATACACCTAGGAGGGCCACTTTCCTACTATAACCCTTTATGAGCTCATAAAGTAACATGATATGATGTTGCATACTAGTACCAGGAATGAAAGCAACTTTACTCTTACGCACCACCTGACCAATCACTTGCCCCAGTCTCTTTGCCATAATTTTTTAGATGGTTTTGTATATTATGGTGCAACATGAAATAGGGCGATAATCTTTCACCTTATTAGCATTAATAGACTTATGAATAAGGGTAACTATCGAATTATTGATATCCTTGTAAACTCTTTCCTTCTCAAAAAATTCTGTGACAGCTTTGTATATATCAGTTTTGATGATATCCCAAGTGGATTTGTAAAACTTGGCACCATACCCATCACAACCAAGGGCTGTAGAGTCCTTCATATTCTTGAGGCTTTTGTAAATCTCTTCATCAGTAATAGGGGCAATAAGGATGCTACCTTGGTCACTACTCAACTGAGTACCTTTTCTCATGGTCTCCACATTTATCCCTTTCAGATTATTAGCTGAAGAGCCAACAATCTTATTATAGAACTGGAACACTTTAGCATGCAACTCGTGTTGAGTATTAGTAGTAGAACCATATTCTCTAATTAAGTATTTCATTTAAATTTTTTTGGACTTAGCTTTAAGGGTAGCATGGAAGAAGGAATTGTTATCATCTCTCATCCTAATCCAGTCAAGCTTGCTTCTTTGATTTAAGAGTTGTTCCTCCAAGTTATTCAAATTAATAACCTCCTCTGTACAACTCTTAACTCTACCAATCAACTAAGAATTCATTCTATCCATTAACAGATTGGACTGGGCCTGAGTAAGGTTCTCCCTGGCCTTAGAAATCCAGCCATCCAAATCTCTAAAAGACTTGCGCAAATCTTTCACAATAGGTTGAAGTCTATAAAGTTTCTTCCATAATATAAACATGTCTCTTCCTGCAAAAGAGATGTCCCAATTTCTCTTAACATCATCCATGAAGCCCTCTGTTTGAGTTAGAACATTAGGGAATTTTAAATACTTCTTCTTTCTCACCATCTGCTCTTCACCTTTCAAACACAACAGAGAGTGATCAGACACCCCCTAGCTCCATCATATAGAGGGTAGAGTCCATATTTTGTTGGTACCAAGTCATGTTACATATAATCTGGTCAATTCAAGAGTAGATTGTACCATTAGCCTGCTTGTTTGACCAAGTATAGTGGTTCCCAAAACTGTCCTTCTCATGCAAGTCAAGCTTTTCCATCATTTTCACTAAATCCACATATTCAACTTCCACAACAAGGCTACCTCCTACTCTATCAATAGCTCTCAACACATTAATAAAATCGGCCATAATGATCTAGGGGTCAGATCCATTGGGTTTAATGAGCTCAATATCAGACCATAATTTTCTCATCTTCATGAGAGAGTTCATGGCATAGATCCCAGTGCACTAGTACATCAAGTCACCTTTCACATTGTACACACCAACATCAATCAACTGGGTTGTACTATGGCTAGGAATCACCTTAATATGATTTTCATCAAACATGATCCAAATTCTACCATTGAGATGATTCATGTAGTTATCACAATAAGACCAATTCTACCCAAATTTGTTCCTGACAGTGGCAACCTTATTATCTTTCATACGAGTTTCAATCAAAATAAAAAGATCAGGGTGAATATTAAGAAGGAAGGAGCTTACCTCTCTACACTTATCTGCTTTATTAATTCCCCTAACATTCCACGAAACAATCATATAGGAGGCTCATGGTTCACTTCATACTCGTTCCAATTCTAAAGTGAAGCAAAACCATTATTGCATAAAATATCGTCTTTATTAGTTGTAGGATTATCTTGAACTTTCTTTCCTTTCTTAATATTGTTAAGCCAAGGTCTTGATGACTCAGGGCACTCCTGAGTTTTGTGATCAGCTACAACCTTAGGCATCTCTTGAACCATCTTAGGCGCTTCTTTCGATTGCCATTTCCTAGGGTTTTTGGATCTCTCCCATGTGCATTGATGACCCACCTTTTTGCACACTTCACAGTACTTAGGTTTACATTCCATTTTAATAGGTTGGGTGATTATATGCCCCTCATCATCTTTAATCTTGATGCGCTCCTTCTGTTTAATAGTAATATCTATCTCAACTAAAATTCTCGCATAAAATACCGGCAGCTTATGAGTCGTACACTCATTTGTGCACAAAGGTGTACCAATGGCACTCCCTATCTTACCAAGACTTTTGGGACTCCACAAGTACAATGGCAGATTTGGTAACTTGACCCAAATAGGAAGAGTTCTCAACATGTCCCTCTTGAAATCGAGGTTTCTATTCCATTCCTTCAGCACCATTGGAACTCCATAAATAGTGTATGATCCTCTTCTGAACACCTGATCTCTATCATTGAATGAGTGGAACTTGAGGAGGAAATATCCCTCATCCTAGTAAAACATTTCTGGAAGCTGAACAAAATTTCAAAACTTGCTCATGAATTGCTTAACTGCATTCATACTCAAATCTTTCCCCAACACATACATAATCAGAGTCGATTCCCATAATTTTGTTTCTGAATCCATATCTTCAACTTCAATCTCTACTTCAACTTCCCCGTCAACAATCTTGGGGGCAATGAAATCAATTGAAATTTCATTTGTGGGTAGACGACTACCACTAATGACATCCACCCGCAGTTTCTTCTTTTCCCCCATTGACGGATGATCGACCAAAAGTTGTGAAATCAATTCTTCTTTCTTACCTTCCTCTACTGCATCCTTCCCAATAAACTCTGTTGATTCATTTGAAGCATTATTCTCCTTCGTTTGTTTTTTCGAGTTTACAGATGTGGCCGAAGAAGAAGCCACTGATTTCTTTGGCCTTCCTCTTCCCCGAGTCATCGCCAAAAGTAAAAAATAACATCCCACTTCTTTGCTTTTCCAGTTAGTCCTTAAACCCGAAGGCTAGGACTTTAAACCAGACCGGAGGAATCTCTGCAATGGTGAGGATCGAAAAATGGAACCATAAAAGTCTCACCGGAAATCGTCTCTCCTAAAAACCATATTGTTTAACTAATCACTTTATTATAAAGTAAATTACATTTTTTAAACACAAAATAGAATAAGAAAGTGCAAGTCATTTTAAACACTTTTGTATATTTTATTTATTTATTAATAATTTTAAAATAATTATTTAAAAATATAAAAGATTATTTATAACAATTAAATAAATATTAAGCATTAATTATTATAAAATTATCAATACATTTATATATTATTTTAAAAATATATTTATTCTTGTGCATTGTTGTTTTTATAATAATTAAAAATATTTTTTTATTTATAAATGGTCCAACGTCAATCTAACTTTAAAACCCCTATTGTTTAATTAATCACTTTATAATAAAGTAAATTATATTTTTTAAACACAAAATAGAATAAGAAAGTAGAGTCATTTTAAACACTTTTGTATATTTTATTTATTTTATAATAATTTTAAAATAATTATTTAAAAATATAAAAGATTATTTTTAAAAAATATATAAATTATTAAGTGTTAATTATTATAAAATTATCAATACATTTTTATATATTGTTTTAAAAATATATTTATTCTTGTGCATTGTTATTTTTATAATAATTAAAATATTTATTTGTTTACAAATGGTCCAACCGAAGTCCAACGTCAATCTAACTTTAAAAACTCTATTGTTTAATTAATCACTTTTTAATAAAGTAAATTACATTTTTTTAAACACAAAATAGAATAAGAAAATGCGAGTCGTTTTAAACACTTTTGTGTATTTTATTTTTTTGTTAATAATATTTAAATAATTATTTAAAAATATATAAGATTATTTTTAAAAATTAAATAAATTATTAAGTGTTAATTATTATAAAATTATCAATACATTTTTATATATTATTTTAAAATTATATTTATTTTTGTGCATTGTTATTTTTATAATAATTAAAAATATTTATTTATTTATAAATGGTCCAACCAGAGTCCAACGTCATTTTGATTATCTTGTTCAAATAGTAGAAAATGGGAATTCGATTGCTAATACGATTTCTGTTATCCAAATATACAAATCAAGATGGCGAGACAAACTTCAGAATTTGCAATAAGGTTTTCATGTAGAGTAAAACTCACCTTCAGGAATTACCGTGAGAATTCCTCAACTTAACTCTGAAACGGTCAGAACATTGTTGATTTTTGTGATGTTTGACTCCTATAGTAATTTTCATTTTAAAATCAATTATATGCTGAATATTTTATTTGTAGCTTTTATTTTTATTTATTTTTTATATAATTTGTAGCTTTTGTGTTGAGGTGGAACCATTCCCAACTTTTTGTAATTTCTTATGGCAATATAAACTTTTTCCTAATTTTATTATCCTTCCATCATAGCAACATAAACTTACTTTCACACAGTCGGTCGTTCAACAAAGACAGGGCAATGATGAGCTGTTAAAAAGTGTGAATACAGTGGCAGTGACAACTACAACCATGGCTAACACACATATATGACGATGAATCATGAATCTCACAGTACATGAACAAGATGGTCAACATAGAACCCTTGATGCCAAAAAGCCAGAGCAAAATTACGCTTTTACCTTCTCTTTCCTTTTCATTGTTTGCATGTGTAAATACTGGTAATTGGTGGTCTCTGCCATTTGCTATAAGAAAATTCTAGCTCTAATCAAATAAATAAATAAATAAATAAATACTAATTAACATGGGAATTAAACGGAATCAGCAATATCTATAAGCTATTAATCATGCCATGCTAAGACTAGAATAGACCAGCAGGTAGCAGCAATCACAGCCAGTCCATATAAAAGAGCCCTTCATATGATCCAAGCCATGCACCCAAAGAAGAATTGTATGTGTACTGGCTTTCTTCCTCTGCTTTAAATTCTATAAACCAAAATAACACATTCCAACATTAGTGACAAGAAAATCATCCTAAAAGGAGCTTCTGATGACTCCGAGAGTATATAAAATCAAAAGCAGATAGGGCAAAAGCATGTCGTGCTTATTACTTTTAAATGATTGATAGCACACAGTGGTGAGAACTGAATTAGAAAATTTATCCTCCAAAAGCAATTCCCCAGATTTTATACTCCATATGCGTAGCTTGCAATCCTCCCCGCCTGAGATGACTAAGTCAGAAATTTCAAACAAAAATGTTAAGAAATAACGTTACTGAAATAACAAACACCTGACATAACATATCTCTCATCTGGGTCAACACCGAGCTGTATTTGAGTATGGGAATTCACGTGCCCTTCATAAGATTGAACAGCACCCTTCTGGAGCATGCGGCGGTCATATAGCTTTATCTATAAAGTAAAACAACAGGTAATTAAGATGTAATTTCCCTGCTTGCGTTGAGCACAAGAGAGATTTAGGTTAAGGTATGTAAAAAATTGAATGAATCTACCCAGCTGCCTAGCTGGGTATTTATAGACACGGCCGCCTAATAGAGGAGTCGAGGAAGAGACTGGTTCTAATGCCAACAAACTTGGCTACACGTTTCTGAACTTTGACTCGCTGGTGGAATGACGGGTGAATCATCCCTTTAATGCAGGAGGTGGGGTCAATCCGAAGATATTCCAGTCTAAGCCCAAACCTAAATTTGAATATCCCCTTGGAAATGTACACTCAACTATGTATGATCTATTAAACTCGGTTTGTGCACTTTAAATACCTACAACTTATCTTTAATGTAAAATATAAGGAATAGGGAATGAATTGACACATGCCTAAACATGAGATTCTGCTACAAATTATCAATAAATCTAAGTAGAAGTTTCCGGAAGAATAAACTAACCGATCCATCCACAGAGCTTGCCAAGAAGTACTGGTCATCATATTTAAGTGATGCCAAACTAGTATCAAACCAACAAATAAAAAACAGAACTTAGACGGTCGAAATGAAATTCAATCCGGTTAAGACAACTTAGCGGGAAAAAGCTAACTAACCAGGATATAGATGAAGGCATCTTAATGGTATGTGAAGGATAAATGTTTCCTGCAAGCTGGAAAATGAGAGGGGCATAAGCATATCAACTATAGTGACAAGATTCACATAGTGAATCGTAAGTCACTGAAGAAAGCAGAATACATTCATACAAACAAAAGATAACAAGCTCCACCAAAATAGAAAATGTATATTGGAGTTTAAATTTGGATTTACAAATGTTGAAGTAGGAAACTACTCCGGAACATTAAACAGTGAATAATGATGAAAAGCAAACATTTTTTATACATTCTGTTTCTCTTTCCAATATTTTATCATGGTAAATTTTGATTATTTCTTGAAATCTTCTGTCTCTCTTTTATTCTTAATTTCAAAAATGAATAAAATACCTTAGAACTTCCAACTCTCTTATCTGAAGATACATATGATATCCTATGCTCAGGAAATCTACTAGAAAGCAATCTTTTCTTTCTAAAATCTACAGAGACAACTTCCCCGTTTCTTAGTCCACATAAAATCACATTTCCCTGCAACAAAAATAAATAACTCAAATAATATACTTTAAAAGTCACGACCTCAAAATATTATAAAAAGATATCACATCACATGGTTTTGTTAGAAAGTTGAAACCATAAAAAATGATAGAAACTAACAAATATCACTTTTCATTTTACAAAGGAATAAATTGTATTAAAGAGAGGAAAGATGGAATAAAAGTAAGCGGGGGGAAAGATGTTTATATGATCAAAGAAATATAAAACAAACATAACGAAAAAATAAATATGAACATCAATGGAAGAAACTCATGAGTTCTGCACCAGAGAATCCATGGAAAGATCCCATTTCTAAGGACAAAGAAGCATCATGAAAAATACAAGCATGGACCCACTGCCAAAATACACTAATTAACCTCAAAATGAGTTTCTGTCCTTATTTTAACATTCATGAAATGGATATGAATGTCGAGAGGAAAATTGTGAGTCTGTGGTGGGCATGCAGATTGTGAGATAAAAGTTTAGGAATGGCAACATGCAAAGGCGAGGCATGAATCATAATACTAAATTGAATCATTCTCTTCATATTTTTGAAGAAAACTCCATGTAATTTGAAGCTCTAAGAAACAAATGTTTGTCTCCGTGTTTCTAACTGAGAAATAAGACCAGGAAAAAAACATGTACATACGACTCATTTATGTAAACCTCTGAATGGGAAATTATTGCTGATCCTCCTCATCCTTAATACAAATACATTGTCTAACTGCTAAAAAGGAGCCCCTTTTTTTACATCCAACAACAAAAACAACGACAATAACAGCAACCAAATTTTAGCCCTGCTGGACGAGATCGATCGGCTATATCCAGCACCGCATTTTCCTTTGAACCTTGTTAACAATCTTTTCCAAAGAGTCATTAACGGTTAAATAATTCTGTCCATTTGCATGTTGTGGTAAATTTGATAGCATAACAAGTTGATGATATGATAAGAATAGTATACAAGCCATCCGTTCAGTGTTGTTAATAGAGGATCGCGGAAAATATCGGATCACCAAAAAACCGATATGAGAAATATCGGATATCGTAGCCGGCAAATAGCAGAAGCCGCAAAACTACTAAAATAAATAACTATATATAAAATAAAACATGCCACACACATATAAAAGCTACTAACATAAACAAATATTAAAAAAGTTTACTAACAATTGAACTGAAAATCTCAAGTTCTAACAACCAAGTAGTTCAAACTTCAAAATCAAAATGACTTAAAACTCAAAATTAAATAGTTCAAACTTCAAAATAACTAATAACTAATAGTTCTTCTAAGCATAACTAGTGATAAAGATCTAATTATTCTCCATAAAAATGGATAAAGCGAAAGTTACAGTGATGGAGGCACTCTGACTCCTATAAATAATCACACCAACTCATTAATATTACACCTCTTCAGAATATGTTAGTAATACCCACACACCTCTTCACATTTCCACTTTATTAATACTCCACCTCTTCACATTATTACTACTGTGCACCTCTCCATAGCCTACTATTTGTTACTGGGCACCTCTTCACAACCTACTTTTTGAGTCCACCTTTTCACATTCTATATTTTAAATATTTTTTAATATGACTTATTATAAAAATGATCATAATAATATTTATTCTGATATCAAATTCAAAATCGGTATACCAGTATACCGGAAAACGGCCAATATGTTGAGCATAGCGAAATTGAAACGGAATATCGTCTTCCGTATCGGATAGCCAAATTCCGATATGAAAAACCGGTATATCGGCGATATAACCGATATTTGACAACACTGCATCCGTTTCGGTTCATATTTATTAATCAAACTCAATAAAATGTCCATGAAGACATGATAAAAATGTACATTAAATACCAATAATAGGTTGATGAAGAGATGTACTAGATAATATTTTTACTATGGGTAACTTACTGAATCAACAATCTGTTGTGCAAAAACATCACTTTTACAACGTAAAAACCATGACCTTGTCCCACTTTCCAGATCCACTGAAGCACCTCCCTGATTGGTACCTATGAAAGATAAAGAGAAACACAAATGAATATCTCACAAAAGGTTATATATATAATGGGTATTTCTTAAGGAAAAGGGTATAGATTACAATTGCCCAATTTAAGAACTATCAATAATTTTAGTTATTAAATCAAACTCTAATGGCTCATTTTTCACTGTCTTAGCCTGATAAAAGCAAAAGGCAGACATAACAGAAGCGGGAAAAAAACCATTCACAATCATATTATTGATAACGGCTACAGAAGATCATTCCATGCAGAACTTTATAAAGCTGAAGCTCAACCATAGAGATTTGATGGATAGGAACTGAAATAGTATTTACAAGATGAATATGGTGAAAATGCCAAAATATGATGAATCTGTCCAGTGAACTGAAACATACATTGTATCTCTATAATCTAGAACTCATGCTAAACCATTCAGAAAAGTATGCATGTTATTTTCTAAAATGAATATCTCTTAATCAAAATTATCCTGGGTTGGAAATCTGGAACCTATACAGGGAAAGTAAGTGCTAATAAGAGAACATTAGAAATCCTATACTTGCATGGCAATGAGTTTAACTCTAACAGTTAGATCCAAACTATGTACAAAATGCATGGGGCTGTCTGAGTTTAATATAATTTGGCATAAGTGTATGCGTCTTAGCGTGTGTGTGTGTGTGTGTGAAAGATATGGAAAGAGGAAGGAAGGAAGGAGACAGGGGCGCAATATATAACTTACCAATTATAGCCCGATGTCTGTTATAGTCGTATTCAGCTGTCCAAAGGGTACACATGAAAGAAGTTATTTCCTCTAGTCTACTCCATGTATTTAGAATTCCTGCTCCAAGATCTATTGGCTCAGCAAGACTGATGGTATAAACAGATCCACCAGATGTTTCTGATCCAAGAGTAGTAAATCTATTTTGCATGTCAAGATCTTTAACTTCGTGTTCAATTTTGTCCAAAATATGTGGAATTGGATGTCACAATATCCAGATAGAGAAGATTATACAAAAAATGCTACATTATTAAAACTAAAAGTGAGAGGTGCTAATCTTGACTATCAAATCTTATGGATTGTCTAAGATTAGAAGTCACTTGAAGATCACATGATTTTCTATTTTAATTTTTATAATGCATGCATAATTGAATGTTTATATTTAAGTAGTGCTTACAGGGCAATAACAAAATGCAAACCTTAAATAAATGAATGCATGCATGAATAATGAAAAGATAAAATAAAGGATACAATGCATTTCCAACACTTGGACTATCACTCGCAGCATTAGGGGCTAAATCTGGACCCAATCTTATACAAGATATTCTGGATGACATATGCAGCGAAGCTCCATTATGTCTAAAAAGAGGCCCTGGCACCTTGATATGCCCATCTTCTTTCCCTTTAATATTACTCCTCATACAATATGGCATCCACTTTACCCCGTCATTGAAATTTTGCCCAATCCTTCCAACTTCAGAAAAACTGCGAGTACCAAACTTCACAAGCAACAACTAGTAAATTGTAATCAATCAAAGTTCACTAGAAATATACAAACTAAATGATTAATACATAACATTTTTTTTATAAGCTAATACAGAACATATTAACTGTCAGTGATATCATAAGTAAGGTATGTGATCAACTTAACTGCTACCCTACCAAACCGTCTCTTAATATTCTTTATGCAATGAAAGGGTACCTAATTCCGCTTTCTATAGGACAATAATTGAAGATCACGTATTCCTTATTGTATTGAGCATTGTATTATTTGACCTCGTTTACCACTACAGACTTAATTTCTGCTTTCTGTTCAGACAGGCATATTTTTACTTAAAAGTGTTTAACTTAAGTAATAAGCACAAATGCTTATGAATTTATTATTTTGTATACTTTGTGAGATAATTATTAGAAACCTAGAATATGATAAAATATCTTATAATATATTGATATTATAATAGAGTATCTTAATTGATCTCCTAGGATCGGTTTCTATATTTAGTTTATAACAGAAACGCTAAACTTATTTCAATTGAAAAAACTCTTTAAAGTAGTGCTTGAAGTAGCTCTTTAAAGTAGTGCTTAGAAGCTAATCCAACAACGCTAGTTTTTAGTGAAGTCGCAGTAGTGCTTACAACACAAGAAGACACACATCCAAAAATGTATACCATCGCTAACTTCTTAGGCTACCAATATAAGAACTAATACTTGAGGCGCTTCTTTGCAAAAGCTACTCTTCTTCCAAGAAGTCTAAAATAGGGCCAAATTGATTCACAGTTTAACATGCCAGGGGGAAAAAAATTAAAAAGCATCGAGGAATATGCATGAAACTTAAAAAATACTATCAGAAGCTCTAACAAACACAATACCATTTCAGAATCTAAAAACCCATCGATTCTAAGAGGGCCACAATACTCAAAATTACAATTTGAAAAATCAAATATCATAATCCAAGAACTGTTCATATAAGACATAATTCAATGGTTAAACAAGATATCCTCTCCAATATTCTAGAACTTGTCAAAAAAACACAAACTAACACAAACAAAACAAAAATTAAAAATTACCTCAGCGAGCCACTGATGCTTCCACTCAACAAAACATCCGTCCTAAATCTACCTTCTAGTGTCTGCACATCAACATTCAAGTGTTCCAAAGCACTGATACACATCCTATCAGTTCCTTGATACTTCCAAATCTGCAAAATCCAATCTCACATTACACTCAACTCAAACACAAATAAGCACATTATCAAAACCACCAAAATGAAACATACGGTGGGCTGAGACGTTCGCATTCTCCGAAACTCCTCAGTGAAGTTACACTTGCAATAATGTGAGGCACTAACATGACGACCATCTAACTCCCTAATCTGAAGCAGCTTCGACGTTCTGTTACGAAGCTTCCTACAAGAACTTCTACTCTTTTCTTGAAACTAAAATTAATCAAACATTAGAATTCAATTCAATTCAATTAAACATTGAAACTGTTCTGGAATTGAGAAATTACTGTAATACCGGATCGGTTTGGGGAGGTTTTGGAGTGGTGATTTTAGGTTTCTTGGAAGAAGAGCCGGGAATGGGGTTTTTGATCGGGAAATAACGGTTTTTCTCTGCGTCGAAATAGAACCCTGGAAGCGCTGTATCAAAGAGAATCAACATTAGTGAATTAACATGATTAGGAAAACAAAAGAAAACGAATAGTTTCGCATATGAATGAATTGAACCTCGGGGTGGTGGCATGATCTTGCAGCTCGAGAAGAAGGTTGAAACGAAATTTTTTTAGGTTTGTTTGTTTGTTTAGAGAGAATGCGCAAATATCAGTTTCATTCACGTATTAGGTTTGTTTGCTTTTATTCCTTTATCTCTTTTTGTGGTTTTCCATTCTATTTATTTAAGTAAGTAAATTCTTTACTTTTCAAAAAAAAGTAAGTAAATTCTTTAGTATCCATAAATTTAAATTAGATAACAATATTTTACTGTTTTTTATTTTTTATTTATTTTAAAATAAAATAAAATAATAAAACCACGTATCATTAAATTATGTTATTTGATTGTTTATAATAATTTTTATTCATTGATAAATTTATTTCTTCTATTTTAAATTACATAATCTATATATTATCTATATCTATATATAATTATAAATTCTAATAAACCATGTTACTGAAGTCCGAAAATCCTAATCACAAATAAATCTTAATTATTATTGAAATCAGCTATTAAAAATATGTTATATAATATTTCAAATATAATTGATTATATTTATTTTATTATTCAAAAATTATATAATTATATAGATGATAATCAATTTAGTAATTTACATTAAAATTTTAAAACATAATCCATCAATTTAACAATTTTATATCTAACACTAACATTTTAATAGATATATCTTAAATTAGATAATTAATTTTATAGATAATAATAGCTTGAAAAATAATTATTTTTGTCTTTAAAAATAAATAAAATATATATTATTTAAATTTTATCGTGAGTATTATTTTGACTTATTGTTAAAATTGATTTTTTTTTATTAAAAAAATTGTGAATTTAAAAATATGAACAACTTATTTACACAATTAGCATATTATGATTATTGATAATCTCTTTTGTAACGTCTCTTAATTGATTAGGAGGGATACTAATCGATTAGTGACGAAAAATTTGAAAATATTTTATATTTGAATTATATAATCTATTAGACTTAATTCACAATTGAATCTTAATGTTAAAAATCGTACGGATCATTTTTCTTTTTGAACTATATTATTTCTGTTGTGAATTCAATGCCAATAACAAAGTATAGAATTAGGGAAGAATAAAGAACAAGGAAGAAGAAGAACACAAGAATTGGTTATAACTGCTATTCTTTACTTTCTCTTAGGAAACAAGATTACAAGTTTACAAGAATAACAAATAACCCTCTCACCCTAAATTAGGATTTGCTGTGATGCAATGATGAGAGACTAGTATGCTATTTATAATAAAACCTAACATACTAACTAATGGGCTTTTTCCACAAGGCCCATTATACAAGCTAACTTAATAATCAAGCTAACTTAACAAATTAGGGTTTAAACACTAAAACCTAATTTAACAAGCATTCTTTGACAAATACATGCTAGACCCTTCTTCGACTACAGCATGTACTTCGATCATACTAGAGTTCGATCCAAAATCCCACAAATCTCCACCTTGGACCTAACTCTACAGCATCAAGAGACACTAACTAGCTTTCTTCATGCAGCTTTATCAACTGCATACAGTGGAAAAACTTGCAACTTGGCAATGTTTTGGTGATCATATCAGCGGCATTGTGATCTGTCGAGACCTTCAGCACTTGGACTTCTCCACGCTCGATTACCCCTCTGACGAAATGCAGCCTCACATCTATGTGCTTGGTTCGCTCATGATAGGCTGAGTTCTTCGACAGGTGTATTGCACTTTGACTATCACATTTAACAGTGATACCTTGACCTTGAAGTTTCAGCTCCTTTGCAAAACCTTCAAGCCACAATGCTTCTTTCACAGCTTCAGTTAGGGCAATATATTCTGCTTCAGTAGTTGATAAGGCAACAACCTTCTGAAGAGTTGCTTTCCAGCTAATTGTTGTACCAAACATAGTGAAAACATATCCAGAAATAGATTTTCTGGAATCCATACAGCCTGCATAATCAGAGTCAACATAGCCTTCGACAGCTGCTTTACTATCTTCACCCAAGGCTCCACCATAAATTAAGACTCTGTTCAGAGACCCATTTATGTACCTTAGAATCCACTTTAACGCTTGCCAGTGAGCCTTTCCAGGATTCGCCATGTACCTGCTTACAAGACTTACTGCATATGCTATGTCGGGTCTAGTACAGACCATAGCATACATCAAAGAACCAACTATATTAGCATATGGGATGCTGTTCATATAGGTTCTTTCAACATCAGTACTGGGACATTGATCAACGCTCAGCTTGAATTGAGGGTTTGTTGGAGTCACAACAGGCTTTGAATTCGACATACCAAACTTGTCAAGAATCTTTCGTAGGTATGCTTCTTGAGATAAGCATAATTTCGACTGCTTTCTATCTCTTTGAATGTCAATTCCAAGAATCCTAGATGCAGCTCCCAGATCCTTCATGTCAAACTCCTTATTGAGTTCAGCCTTCACCCTCATTACATCTTCGACATTGTTGCTTGCTATCAGGATATCATCAACATAAAGCAACAAAATAACAAATGAATTTTCAGGTCGAAATCTGGAGTAAACACAATGGTCGAACTGACTTCTAATGAAACCTATGTGTTCCATGAACTTGTCGAATCTCTTATTCCACTGTCGAGGAGATTGTTTAAGTCCATATAAAGATCTCTTCAGTTTGCACACATAATCTTCTTTCCCTTTTTCGACATACCCTTCAGGTTGCCTCATCAGGATTGTTTCATCTAAGTCACCATACAAGAACGCAGTCTTCACATCCATTTGTTCCAGTTCAAGGTCGAACTGAGCCACCATGGCAAGCAACATTCGGATGGATCTGTGCTTCACAACAGGGGAAAATACATCATTGAAGTCGACACCTTCTTTCTGAGTGAAACCCCTTGCGACTAATCTTGCCTTGTACCTCTTCGACATTACTCCTTCAATTCCTTCCTTAACTTTGAAAATCCACTTACAGCTGACTAACCTTGCCCCAACAGGTTTCTTGATTAGTTCCCAAGTGTGATTATCATGAAGAGATTTCATCTCATCATCCATGGCCTTTAGCCATTCAGTCTTCATTCGACTCCTTATAACTTCCTTATAATCTCTAGGTTCTTCGTCTAGAACTTCACTTGCAGAGATTAAGGCATAAGCTACAAGATCTGCATATCCAAGTCTCTGAGGTGGTTTTATGACTCTTCTTTGCCTATCTCTCGACAATAGGTAGTCATCAACAGTTTCCTCAACATCATCAGAGTCTTCTGTTTCTTCTTCGACTTCATCTGGGATACGCAGTTCAGCATCAACATGCTCCACCTCAACAGGAATCTCTACCTGTTCCAGCTCTTCGTCAACATCATCAGTCTTCTTGAAAGCCATTTCAGTTTCATTGAAAACTACATCTCGACTGGTGATACACCTCCTGTGACCTGGCTCTAGGCACCATAGCCTATAAGCTTTCACTCCTTCAGGATATCCCATAAACATGCATTTCAGAGCTCTAGGTTCGACCTTGTCTTGCCTAATGTGAGCATAGGCTACACAGCCAAATACTCTTAGTTTGTCGAGATCTGGTGGATGTCCCGACCAAACTTCTTCAGGTGTCTTCATATCTAACGCTGTCGAAGGACATCTGTTTATCAGATATGCTGCTGTCGAAACAGCCTCAGCCCAAAACACCTTCTTTAATCCCGCACTAGTCAACATGCATCTAACTCTCTCCAAAATAGTTCGATTAAACCTTTCATCCAAACCATTTTGTTGTGGAGTACCTGCGGTAGTTCTGTGCCTTGCAATACCAGAGGCAACACAAAAACTGTCGAACGCCTCATTGCAAAACTCAAGGCCATTGTCGGTTCTCAACCTCTTTACCTTTCTGCCAGTTTGATTTTCGACAAGAGTCTTCCAACTTTTGAAATTCTCAAAAGTTTCATCCTTAGTCTTCTGGATGAATACCCATAACTTTCTGGAATAGTCATCTACTATGGATAGAAAATACTTTGCTCCTGAATGTGATGGACACCTTGCAGGCCCCCAAAGATCAGCATGGATGTAATCAAGGGATCCATGTGTTCTTTGTTTGCCTTTGTTGAACTTCATTCTACAGGACTTTCCAAGTACACAGGGTTCACAAAACTTCAGCTTTTCGACTTTATCTCCACCAAGCAGATTTTGTTTCCCTAATTCAACCAGACCCCTTTCACTGACATGGCCCAATCTCATGTGCCAAATTTCTGTTTTCGACAAAGGTTTCGTGGATGCAACATTTGTCGAACCACTTACAACTTCAGCCTCAAGGGTATACAAGCCTTGTTTCTTCACGCCTCTCAAGACTTCCTTCGACCCTTTCATGACTCTTAGGATACTTTTCTCTCCTTGAAAAACATATCCTTTCTTGTCGAATTCACCAAGAGAAATCAAATTTCTCTTCAAATCAGGTACATACCTGACTTCAGTCAACAATCTTATTGACTCATCATGGAGCTTGAATCTCACAGATCCAACGCCTGCAATCTTGCAAGCTTTGTTGTTTCCCAGCAATACAGATCCACCATCTTGATCACATAATTCCTCGAACAAGTCTTTGTTTGGAGTCATGTGCCAAATGCATCCAGAATCCATAATCCATTCCTTCGACGAGTTTTTGCTTGAAACCACAAGAACATCAGATGATTCGAAATCATCTTGGACAATAGCTGCGTTGCCATTATCCTTACCTCCATGATCTTTCAGGCGTTCAGGGCACACCTTTCTTGTGTGACCTACTTTCTTACAGTGATAGCATCTAATACCAGATGCATCACCACTATAAGACTTCGACTGATTTTTACCTTTCCTCTTGTCGAATTTTCCTTTAACAGCCAAACCTTCACCAACCGTCGAAGGTTTATGCTCCTTACGTTCGTTCAAGTCCTTAGAGTACAAAGCTGATTGAACTTCTTCAAAGGTCAGGGACTCTCTTCCATACAAGAGGGTTTCTTTGAAGTGAGCATGTGATCTGGGAAAAGCGCACAATAATAACAGCGCTTGATCTTCATCATCAATC